GGACCATTGTTTTCATGTGCATTCACTGAGTTAGACATTTTTACCTGAAATCAAAGATTCTTGGACAAGAAAAAGTGTGAAGAATAACTTGTGTTTCCAATAAACCAGCACGAAAACAATCACTATTATTTTTAGCTCCACGGTGGGCGCCAAACTATTTACCTTAAAAATGGTAATTATAATTAAATTTAATTTTGTGGTTCTAAAAATACGTGATTTGTTTTAGTACTGGTTGTTAGGCAGTAGATGCTAAGCGTGAGCTAGGAAAGTAAAGTAAGAGTAAGAGGCAATGTTGTTATTCAAACCGAATGGCTGCGAGACGGGGTCTCGGACTGGCCTAAGCTGGGCCTCGAGGTTGAGCTAATCAGCTCGATCGGGGATAATCGATGAAGGACTAACAGTTCCAAGGGCCTTAATGATGGCTCTTTATGATCAATGATGAGTAATAAATGAGAAAATAATCAACCAAACGTAATAAATGTAAGCAATAAATCAAAGGAAAGACAATGGAGAATGTTTAAGTTAGAGAGCAGAGAATGCTCTTGTTCTTGTATTGAATATCATGTGTGCAAGAAATGACAAAGGTCCCCTTTATATAGGAGGGGCAATCCCAACATGGTACATGTATAATTATTACTAGGGGTGTTCATGATTCGGTTTGGATCGGTTTTTTCCTAAAAAGAAACCAAACCAAGCAAGTCGGTTTTTCAAATATTAGAACCAAACCAAATAAATTAAATCAGTTTTTTCTCGATTCGATTTATGTCGGTTTTTTGGTTTTTTCGGTTATTTGTCGGTTTTTTCTTAAATATGAGACATACACTACCAAACACATATTCCGGAGACCACATTTTCAACGTAACACTATCAAATCAATTGCCCTTTGAGTATTATTTACCAAGATATATTGATGATAATTGAATCAAATAGTCATGAATAATTTAAGGACTCAATTAAAGATATATTATTTTTAACTCGAAATGGATTCTTACACTTAACAAAAGAAAACTACCAATCAAACTAGAATATAAAGGTAAAGAACTATACTAAAAGTGCAAACTATTAACATTTACCATTAAATTTTTGAAACTTTATATAAAAATATACACATATATAGGTGTAATAATAAATTTGAAATAGCTACTCCTATAGTCGGTTTGGTTCGGGTTTTTCCTGATTAAACCAAAATCAAACCAAATTTGATCAGTTTTTAAAATTCAAAACCAAAACCAAACCAAACCAAAAATTATCGGTTTTTTTGGTCGGTTTGGTTCGATTTTTCGGGTTTTTATGAACACCCCTAATTATTACAATGAGACGTAGCCGGTACAGCTATTTAATGGTCTGATACAGGCTTGTACTATTCTTGCAGGTGTTGTCAGCTTTGGTCACGTGCCTTGGGAATTTCCCCCTTGCCCATCATAGCCACCGATTTGCGCTGCCCGAGGTTGAGCATAGGGGACCCTCGGGATCGAACCTCGAACTGCGCCTCGAGGTTTCTGGAGGCAGGTTGTGGAATGTCATAACGATCATAAAATCAGGCTCTCCGATTTTAGTCGTATACAGTGTGTGTGTGTGTGTGTGTGTGTGTGTGTGTGTGTGTGTGTGTGTGTGTTAGGAGTGGCAAACAGGTGGGTTGGGTCGGATATGGTTCCGGTCGAAGATGGATAATGAAAAAACGGATAAATTATCCGACCTGATCCATGTTTAATACAGATAAAAAGCGGGTTAACTGGTGGATAATATAGGTAACCATATTATCTATGACTTCTTGCATATGATCACTTTTGGGAGAATTCTTAGTCTCCCTAACTTGAGGATCCCCCAATTTGAGGCTTTACAAATGTAAAAGTTAGACCCATTGGCTATCCATTGGTTACCCATTGGTTATCCATTTTCTAAATAGATAATATGGTTCTTATCCATATTTGACCCGTTTTTAAAAAGTTCATTATCCAATCCATTTTTTAGTGGATATATGGGTGGCTAACTATTTTCTTTTAATCATTTTACCATTTCTAGTGTCTGTATTGTTAAATATATGTAGATATTGTAATAACAAATAATTTAACAATAATACCGACTGAAATCGGTTGGTAAATTAATAATAATTATAAAAAAATATTTTTGTTATGGAAAAAACTAATTGACACTGGGCAAAAAAAAAATAAATTAACATTTCTGACCGATTTTCGGTCGGCATAACTAAACTTATTTTGGTAGATAATATGCAAGTATGGCCATGTCTTGGTCAAAGATTGACCAACTCCCGCCCAACATCGGTCGGAATTTTTATGTGTCAGACGTAGCAGTGTTCTTTTTTGTTATGGGACCACTTTTTCCAATGGATGGTGGTCGGTATCTTTTGCGTGAAATTTTTTTCTGACTTTTGCGATCAATTTATCTATTTTCCGACCAATTTTAATCGATTTCTTTTTCGACCGATTTCGATCGATATGCTGTGAACGGTTTTTGATAGTTTTCTAGTGGCAGCGTAAGGTGAAATAAGTCTTAATGGAGGAAGGGAGCAAGTAGTAGGTAATGTCATCAATCATTGACAAACGAACTAAAGCGAAAATGTCATCATTTTCACATAAACAAACGCCAAAACCAACCACCCAAAGTTTCGAAAATTTAAACTATTTCCATGACATCATTTTGTCGCCACAAGGCTTGTAATTATATGTCTACCAACAGCAGGTAGGGAATAGGGATAAATAATATATGAGGTGCATGAGAAAGTTGGCTTTCTGGTCACTTTGGCGGTTTGGCGCCTATCTACACTTGAGACTTTTTGGGGCTTTCTTTGGACACTTGCTCTATATCTATGTGGTGGATTCATTTAAAAGACAAAATTACCTTTACACCAACTTAGGATAGCTTTGTTAACGTGTCTAATGTTTAGTGGTTCGACAAGTACTCATCACAGTATTATTTCTTCAGATAGATATAAAATTTCAAGTAAATGAGTACGTATAAAGTAAAAAAGAAGTTTTGTTTCCGATTACGAGAAAAAGCTTGGCCATATAGCTAGATTAAATATGAGATATTGCATACAGACTGATTTAAGATAAAAGCTAGTTGAAACAAAGCTGGAGAAGAACGATAGCCAAGTGAAATTTTATGATTTTAGAAAGCGCCTCAACAATTAATAGTAACACGCCTATCGACCTGAACAACTGTAATAGCCTCATAACCACATTTAGGCCTCATTTGTTTTTTTAAGATTAAGACATATGAATCATTAAGATGTGTATTCAGATTAAGAAATTTGGAATACACATGTGAATATATTAAGATGTGTATTAATATCTGAATAAAAATAATTAAGACTGTTTGATTTTTAACATCTAAATATATAAAATTTATCTTTATTTGAAAATTAATAAACATAAAATTCAAATGAAATACTAACTAATCTAATAGTCTATCAATAAAAGATATAATTTTTTAAAATATGATAGTTGTTGGTGATGATGGCTAACGGGTGAATGCCGATTAGAGACGGTGGTTGGTGGTAGTTTTGGTTGATGATGGTGGTTCATGCTAGTAGCTAGTAGTGATTGGTAGTGGTGGCGATAATGATTGAGGATGGTGGTGGTGGGTGGTGATAGTTAATAATGGCGGGTGGTGGTAGTAGTTGTGACTGAGGAAGGTGGCGAGTGGGTGGTGGGTGGGTGGTGGTAGGCTATAATGATGGGCAGTGCTGACTGTGGTTGTTGATGGTGATGGGGTGGTCAGTTGTGGTAGTTGAGGTGGATGAGTGTTGATTGTGGGTGAGAATGATATATGGTGGTCGGGGTGGTGTGGATAGTGGGTGGTGATTGCCGATAATTGGGGCGGCTATGATAGAGGATGATGGTGGCGTGGTGGTGGTGGTGGTTGAGTATGGTGGTGGTGGTGGTAGTTGATAATGGTAAGCGGTGGCGGTAGTTAATAATGAATATGTGATAGCATCTTAATGAAATTAAGTCTCTGTTATAGATTTTAATCATACAGACCTATTCAGACCTATTAAGTAGTTGTAAAGTTAAGAAAACAAACACACTTAACGATTAAGACCTGAATAATTAAGATTCAGACTTTAAAACAAACGCACTTAATATCTGAGGTCTGAATGATTAAGATTCAGACCTCCGTTAAGTGCAAACAAATGAGGCATTAATACCCTTTCCTTTAAGTAGGTTAGAAATAAAGGAAAAAAAAAAGGATTTAATCCGTCTAGTTCAAATAGAAGAGAATTGCAGCAAATTTTTCATAGAAACTGCACTAAAATATTTAACCCAAAAAAGCAAAATTTTCGGTTTCGATTTGGCTTTTGATTTAATGCATATAGTGCATGCCCCTATTTAGACCATAAAGGAAGTATGTCTTACTAGTAAAAATCTCATGAAATGTTTGTGAAAATTTTCCTCTAAAGCACATAATATTATCTCCAGTTTTCAAATTCCACCGAAGTTGAAAGGAAAATGGCTTGATTACAGCAATAGCGTATATTGGTAGCAATTTCCTCTCTTTTCCTAAAAGAGAGACCAAATTATATACTTTCTCTGTTTCAATTTAGATGAGATAGTTTGATTTGTCACAAAGTTTAAAAAGAAAAGAAGATTTTTGAAATATATAGTCCTAAATGCTTAAAAGATAAAAGCTTTGTGGGGCTACAATATTTGTGTCACTATAAAAATTTCTCATTAAGGGTAAAGTGAATAAAATGAAAAGTTCAAAGTTAAATTGTTTCTAAATATAGAAAAGTGTCATTTTTTTGAAATAGACTAATAAGAAAAATGTGTCATTTAAATTAAAACGGATGAAATATTACTTCCTAATTTATGTAATTCCAATTAATTGATTAATTTATACCCTGAAAAAGATTATCTACTGGTCATATTATTTTCCTTTCGAGCATTTTCATTAATGCTCACTACTTTCCATAAAGGATAACCATCTCCCTTCACCTTTACTTAATTATGGAATATTATTATAGAAATGACCGTGTAATACGTGACGTGGATAATTTTGGCCTATACATTCTTGGCCATTCACTAAGCAACAGTTCGGTCAACGAGTTCACTCGAAGAAAATGGCAAACTCCACCATAAGATTTGGAATATTGGGCTGTGCGGATATCGCACGAAAGGTGTCACGCGCTATACTCCTTACACAAAACGCCACGCTCTACGCCGTCGGCAGCCGTTCAATCGAGAAGGCCCGAAAATTCGCTGCCGAAAACGGTTTTCCGTCGACGGCGAAGGTGTACGGCAGCTATGAAGAAGTGCTCGACGACCCGAATGTGGATGCAGTTTATGTGCCTCTGCCCACAAGTCTGCATATCAAATGGGCCGTTCTTGTAGCCCAGAAGAAGAAGCATTTGTTGTGTGAAAAGCCTGTCGGGTTAAATGTTAAGGAAGTGGATGTAATATTGGAGGCGTGTGAATCTAATGGGGTGCAGTTTATGGATGGTACTATGTGGATGCATCATCCTCGTACTGCTAAGATGAGAGAATTTCTTTCTGATCCACAGCAATTTGGTGAACTCAAAACGGTATGTATTGCTGATGATTTATTCTTTAGTTCAAATTCTGGGGATTTTTAAGGCTATTTTTGTTATCTCATGGAGTCATGGTTAAAGTCGGATTTTGGTCAACCCCATCCCCCAAAAGAAAAAGAAAGAAAGAAAGAGATCACTTTATCTGAATATCTATTGCTATTTCTTTCTTATACAGGCCTGCTAATTGTTTCTGGAGGGCTTATAGTATGGTTACATAAATAAATAAAAAAGATACAGAAAAATAATGCTTTTTTAGAAACTGATAAGGTAAAAATTAGTCATAGAATGATATCAATAAAGGGATAAAAGTTTATCGGCACATGGTGTTTATATCAAATCAATAAATATTTAACATGTATCTTTCATACACATTTATGTAGCGAATCTGGCACTCGATTCGCCATTGAAACAGGGAAGAGGAACTAAGAGAAAAAAAAAAGAAAAGTAATTAAAAGATAAAAATTCAGATTTTCATTTAACAAATAACCTACAATGCTATATTTACAGAATATATATATGAACTTAATAGGGGTACTAATGAAAATAGATAATAAAGTGGGGCTAAACTGTAGTGGTAAAACTAATGAGGGGCAACCTATAAATAATAAAAGTTGACCTATAATCTCCTTTCGTTACATTCCATCCCCCTAATAACAACCTTGTCCTCAAGGTTGGAAATGGATGAATTCAGTAGTAGTCAACTCCACCAAACAAGCACTGATCTTTTCTTCACCAAAGTTAAACGATGTTGCATTTGGAATTATGAGATGGACAGTATATGTTTGCACTCCTTCAAGCACTTGAAATGTGATTCTCCAGGGAGCATTCTTGAGTTTGTGCTTCCAAAACTCATGCTTAACAAAGTCATACTGCAGGGAGAAAACAACATGAGCAGGGATGACTTTATTTGCTAACATAGTATCCACAAAATTTCTGTCAGCAATTGCGTGATCCATAATCATAGAAAGATAAAAGCTTTTGATAGATCCCTCCATTTCTTGGCTTAAAGCAGGGCTCTTCATATTTTCCAATCTTCTGTGAAAGAGTGTTTGTCTCCTTCTTGCAATATATTCTGTGAAAGAGTGTTTGTCTCCTTCTTGCAATATATTCTGTCTCAATGTTTGAATAAAAGGGTCCAATGATCATACCGCTAGAAGTAGTTTTGCCACCACAATCTAGACCAAGTATCCCTAAAAATCCTTTATGTGGAAATGCAAGAGATAACTCTCTGTCTGCAACTCTGTTGGGGTTCCCATGCTTCCATGAACACTTGAGGTCACTGTAGCTGACAAAAAAGCTGAACTGGAACTTACTTAGTAATCGCTCAACCTTCTTCTTCCTCCAATAAACCTCATTATCTTTAGATTGAACATTAAATACCCTGCTTAACTCTACCCATGCATTATTCGGCACACTGACTGATCCAGCAAAGCTATGGCCACCAGGATCAAATGAAATTTCAGGCGTGAAATCCATCTTTTGTGCTTGAAGGTCTTCAGCCACATGAAAACAATGAACTAGTGGAGCATTTAGCTCAAAGGATCCTTCCTTGATTGAGTCACGCACCCACAAGCATCATGGTTGCAAGGGAACAAAGGATATTCCGACAAACTCATCATCAATGTAAATAGAAAGATCACCAAACTTCCATAAAGCACTAGCAGCTTCATCTAATCTAGATGGAAGAAAACTACCCATAGTAAGCATGGCGACGTTTAAGATGAACAATTTTATTGCATCAATTAACTGATTAAAATCTGGAGGACTCATGAGATTAATCTTGAGATAAAGAGGATGATAGCAAGTTACTTTGAGGGGATCATTTTCCTTTGCAAGTGCATTTCTCGCTTGTCTAATCGAGAACACGTCTTTGTGAATAATTTTTCTTTGTACAAGGAGCCTAGTTGGCCTAGGTAGTGCCACCTTTGCCAGAGAATACTTCACTAAATGGTTCCCTAGTGTATATGCCCTCAAATAATGACTTAAATAACCCAAAATAATCAATAGTAAGGTAACCCTGCGCTGCTGATGATAAAGAGTAGCAGTATTGTCCAGAGCTCCTTTCATAGTATTAAGTTCACTTATGGCCATATAGTCTCCAATCTCTTGGCACCCACAATATGCGATTATCCGAAGGGCATTCTCATCTTGAAGAAGTCCTACCACGAGTGTAACAATTTCATACCAATCTTGGAACTATGGGCTCATTTCTCATCAATAAGAGTTTCTTTATGATGTTCTAAACGTCAATACCACACAAGAGGGGGGGGGGGGTGATTTGTGTGGTACCCAATTTTCGCTCTAGAAGAACCTGGTTCTTCTAGGTGTACTAACTACTACTGTTTGCGGAATAATAAGTACATAAAATAAAGAACACAGAGATTTTTACGTGGAAAACACCTGGCTCAAAAGGTGAAAAAACCACGACCTACTATTCAGTAGGATTTTCCCAAACTTCCACTAAAATCACTGAGCCAAAACAGTATTTACAAAACTCTTTGTAAACCTAAAGATTAACTCTAATCCCGTTGTGGCACACAGCATCAACTGTTGCGACAACTTCAAGTCAGCTTATAACTTGAACACTCTAGGTACCTAATACAATTGCTTCTATGAAAGCTGAAAGGTACAATTTTAAACCACCTATTACAATTGAACTAGAATAAAAGAAATACACAATGGAACTGATTCTTCTATCTCGTTCAAGTAGCTTCAGGAGTGCACAATCAAATCTCACATAAATTGCTTGCAAAATCGCCTTGCTCTTTTGCTCTCAATTTAGTTTAACTTCTGCGTATGTACAATACCTGTAAAAGAGAACAATCACTGTCTTTTAATGGGTTAGTAATCAGAGTTTGATCGGGACTCAATTGCTGATCTTCTATCGTAGTTGAGTCCTTGAAGATCTTAAACTCCAACACTATCTTTATCCGGATTGTGTTCTCTTCATATAAGGAGACTTTCTCCCCTTATCCAATGTGCAACCTTTTCGATCAGATCAGGAGATATTGCTTCTTGATCAGTAGGACATATCTCCTTCACGTGCATCTCACATGTATAGGTTGAGCATTACTGTGCTTTACACGATGGACCTGGTACATGACTGAGTTCATTTGTCATTCTTCAAAACTTCACCTGTTCTTGGGCCAACGAATTCCCCTTTTTGATGATGACAAACTCTGTGTGTTTTACTAATTCGAAACCTGTAAGAACTCAGCTTAACCATCGACACTAAATTTAGAAAATTCACTTATCATCAAGGACCGGGTTAATTAGGTTATAAACATCACTTATTTCAGAACATGTAAAGCACAAGATCTCTTCCCCCCTCTTGGCATCATCGAAAAGTTGCATACACAATGTGAATCCCAGATTATAATAAATACTCATGGCCACTGGGGCAACTGCAAGTGCAATCATGGTGCAATCATCAGTAATCAACAAACATATTTAACTATTAAGGTGAGAATAAGCATTGAACAAGAGAAAATAGCAGTTGTCATTGATAGAGATATGTTGCCACCAATAATCCACAAAACAAAGAAAATATTCAACCATGAGCAAAATAACAGAAAAATCCCTAATCTAGGTCACTGGGGGTACTAGACAAGTTCAGGAGACAAAGGTTAGGAGTCTTAAAGCTTGGAGGAACTGGAGGGTTGGGTTTGGAGAAGGTTCAGCATGTTCTGAAGCATTCCATCATTCTTCTCATTTTCTTTGGCAAGCTCAATTCTAAGACCATCCCTCTCAGTTTCCACTTCAATCACACGAGCCTTGAGCCTAGCAATTTCAGCATCCTTAGCTGCACATTCCTGAACCAAAGTCCTAACTTTGTTGTTGATGGGTGTCTTCAGAGATGAACCAGGTTCAATTGGGATGGCATTGACCGGATAGTCACAGGCAAGAAGAGTTTTGATGCCAAAGTGTTCCTTGCTCGAGGCCATTTCCGATTTCTTCAGAGGCACATTTAGCCTGTCCAGAACTGTGGTCAGTATGAAGCCATATGGAGTAGCATGAGCCTTGGAGCCATTTATGACCCTGTCTAGCAATTTGACAATGAGGGCAGGCCAGTTGATTTGCTTTCCTCTCTCCAGGCACTCCATAAGAATCAGGTCCATGTAGTTAGCAGTGTGCCTTCTCTCCTGCCTAGGCAATAAACACTTGTTGACAAACTCAAACACAACCTTGTGCTCAGGCCTCATCTCACTTTTCTGCACAGCCCTAGCTTCATTCACTTCCTCTGAATCACAAAACCTCTTGGTGATTTCAAGGGCAGTAGGGAGGGAGTCCATGCATGGCCACCTTTGCCTAGTATAGTCATCAAACCCTTCAGAGGGTATGTCCAGAATCTCTCCCAGTTTCTCTGCATCAAACTTCACTGGGTCTCCCTTCACCAGGCTACTAACAACTCCATACTTAACATCAGCATTTGCCATAAACTCAATCAGCTCATTTCTGGCTAGCCTACCATCCATCTGAAGGACCATGTCCTTCCATCCTTGAGCAGCTAAAGAATCTACCAATCTCATCATCTCTGGTTCCACTAGGTCCTTAAACAATCTATTTTTTAAAATTTTCCTTCTGCCAAACATGGCAAACCTGTCTTGCTCCTTCTCAGATTCATTCTCTTCTTCGTCTCCACTCCAGTCATCATCATCTGAAACTTTTGTTTGTTTAGCTTTCACTACAGATCTTGTCCTCTTGGCTAGTGTGGGTTCAGCAGATACAGGTGCAGAAGAAGACTTGTTGGAGGAAGTCTTGGGCTTTTTAGGCTTGGGTGTAGGAACCTCTTCTGTTGTACCCCTTTCTTGATGGACCAGTTCCGTCTCCTCTTCCTCAATAAGTAGTACCTTTGAGGATTCTGCAATCTTCCCTTTTCCCTTATCCATTTTCTTTTTCTTACTTTCTTCTAAAACTTTTTGTAGATCAGCTTCACTTTGTTTTACCCTGCTTCTTGTGGCTCTACCCCTAGGCACTGAAGAGGCAGTAGGTTT